AAATCCTCTAATTTGATCCAATAAGCAACTTTTATGTTGCGAAATGACTCCAGTTGTACCTCCAAAATCTCCGCTGTTGTCTTAAAGAACATGTCCTTCTGCCCTCTGTTTATTCCTACTGATCTTATCACTAGCTTGGGATCCATTCTTTTTTCCAGCCCGATCTCAGTGTCTATAGTGTCCGTGTGCTGCATCTACACAAACAGTCAATACAATCTGAAAACAGTGAATTATCTCAGAGATGTCACCTAGTTTTCTCCACACTGCTGATCTGCAGAGTGCTGAGTAGACTGAATTAAGATCTCTGCAGATAGAGGCGTTAATGAGCAAACAGCCTGGTATTGACTCAGCCATATAGTGAGAATGATCAATGGTACAGTGAAATGTGAGGGGACACGGCACAACATCTATACAAAATAACCCCTGGTCCAACAATATCACAAATTAACATGTACGGTTTGAGAGAAACGTGTTTATGCTGAATTGCTCAATGGTAACAAATAGTATTATAGTGGTTTTCAACTGGTTTATCAATTCTTCCACTACAAAAACAAGTAAATACCTAAAAGCAATGATTGTTTTGTTATCTGTTTATTTATTTTTGAGTGTATAGCTTGGTATACGAGTGTGCAGCCAAAGCTAAAGGTCGGTCACAGCTGAACAGTTTGATGCTCTTTTGGCACAGCTCCCGGACACAGTCAGTGTTATAGAGTGGCGAAGTCCCTCCCCTTCCGGTGGACCTCCATGGGACCTTATTTCGGAAAAATTATGTATTGAAGTCAATGGAGAGAGAAAGATTATCTTTCGATCCCGTTTGAATTGTGCCACGAATTACACATATGATGTTTGTCAATTTAAAAGATAATTTTGCAAGTCAAAAAAAAAAAAATGTGTCGTAAAACTGTGAAGTAACACATTTGTTTGTGTGAAACGCTCAATGAACTACATCTCTGGTCTCTCAGAACAACACACGTCACCAAGATGGCCGTCACTACTGTCAACAAAACGATTGACTACCCTCACTATCACCACAATGAAACACGTCCTGAAGAAAGTCATGCAAAGCTGCCTGCCTGCCTTCCTTTGATTCTCTCTGAACTGCCTGGTCTTTTTAATGTTTAATGTCAACCATTTGTGCAGATAGCATGAAGTAGAGAAGATCGCTAGCGTTAGCGTTAGCATTTCTCCCCCGGGCTTACATTGTGTATTATAGAATGATCACACACCGGTGTGACAGTACTCTTCAAAGGTTCACGAAATATGACTACTACTCTTACTGTTTAACATTTTGGGTTACTTAATGTTACTTCATGTTAAGGCTAATACAAATGACAAGGCTGTAATGCTAACTAACGTGCTAGCTACTAGCTAGCTTGATCCAGACACTCCTAGTCCTTTCATCAGACGGGAAGCGAAAGAACGAGCAAGACCCATTGCTGGTATGAACAACCTGGTACTAAGCACACAGGCATCTTGTTAAAGTTATCTTAGCCAGCGCCATATAGATAGATTCTATCTATATGGCGCTGATCTTAGCTATCTCTTACACCGTTGGTGTGAATGGGGTGGAGGAAAACAATTGTGACATCACTTACGCGACTCTGGGATTTGTAGTCTTTCTAGTTGCGTATTTTTCATAGTCTTATATTTCAACAGTTTTACGACAAACTGACTTTTTGACATGGAATGATTTTTTAAGATTGACAAACATCATATGTGTAATTCATGGCACAATTCAAACGGGATCGAAAGATAAGTTTTCTCTCTCCATTGACTTCAATGCATTATTTTTCCGAAATAAGGTCCCATGGACCGGAAGTAGCGCACACACACACACACCACACACACACACACACACACACACACACACCCCACACACACACACACACCACCACACCCACACAACACCACACACACCACACACACCACACACGGACGTTATCGAGTAATCCAGTGAAGTGTGTATCAAGGCTTGTATCGTTTTAGGCCAGTGACGTCATCGATGACGAAGAAGCCTCGCTGTCCGTCGACGCCACGTGACTGCTTCAGATAGTGCTCAGATCTGTTGAATTAGAATGAATTGAATTGGGGAGGGATGAAACCCTCTTTAATGGTCACACATGCAGAGCACACAGCACACAGTGAAATTTGGCCTCTGCTTTTAACCCATCCTAGTACCAGGAGTCTAGCACTAGGAGCAGTGGGCAGCTATTGTACAGCGCCCGGGGAGCAATGGGAGTGAGGGGGGAAGGGGGGTATCCGGTGCCTTGCTCAAGGGCACCACGGCAGGGCAGGAGGTGAACTGGGACCTCTCCAAGTAGCAGTCCACACTCCACATTTTTTTTTAGGTCTGGTCGGGGACTTGAACCGGCGACCCTACAGCTCCCAGTCCAAGCCCCTACTGACTGAGCCACTGCCGGACACTACCACACCGGTTGAACCACTGACACTACACGTTTTAAAACGCTCATGTTACCCCTCCTGTAGAGCTCAGACCCTCACGTAAAGTGGAAGGAACATGCCGTAGCCTATGTATGACTAAATAAATGCATAAATGAATGTATGAATACCAACATTAATACATAAATAAATAATAAGGCGATGAATAAATAAGGCAATGAATAAATAAAAGAAGTAATAAATGGACGAATAAATGCGTGCGATATGATACACATGTGAATATGATTTTGTGTTCATTGTCAAGGGTTATTCTAGGCTTAACTCATTGGGAACTTAGTACAAAAGATCACGCTGTTGAGATATATCTGCCTGTTTTACACACGTTGACCAGCAGGGGGTTAGTGTTCAAATGAAGCCTCATGAGATCCTTTTGCAGCCCAATTGCTGTAAAGCTTCATAAGGCTTCATCTCGCCATCGCTACGATTAGATTAAACCGTTCGAAGACGTGCTGATTAATGAATAATGTGATGCAAAGAAGGTATTCTGCAGATGATTAAAACGCACGCAGAGTGAGTGACTCATGCTGTGAGCGTGCACTGTGAGACCATATTGACCCGAGTTGTTATATTGCATCTATCCTTATGTGCTTGACGGAAAACTGCGCACTGAGACATATTAAAGAACCAGAAGAGGGATCGTATGATCATATAAAGCAAGAGCACGGTTTGCACCACCACCAGTTATATGCATGAAGTATGAAGGAGAACCTGTGCATACTTCCTTTTATATTAATTCGTTTTTAAATATATTATTATTATCTTATTTTATTCATTTGATCTATTTTATCCATTATATCTATTTTATCCATATTATCTATTTATTCATAACCTAAGAGAGAGGAGGGGACGCTTTTAGAGCCCTTTACCATATAGAGAGGGAATCAGAGAGACGATGCGCCTCTATCAGAGATACGGTAGTTGTTAACGAGGTACAGCAAGACTTAATCATGTCTGTAGGCTACTTGTATTTATCCGGAATGGTCCCAACCATGAAGGGGTGGCAAGACACGATCTGATGAGAAACTGAGGCGATCATGCCTAAACGTTACAGTGAAAACGGATAAACGTAACGTATCTGCTGGTTGAATTTTCCCGGGAGGGACTGAATGAGGCGTAGAGGGCCTGCTCGTAGTTGGCTTGTGCGTAATGCGACTTCCGTGTTCGTGGATCAGCTGATCGAGGAGGCCTCGACTCCGTTCTGATGCCGGATCGGCTTGTTTCACTTATGCCGAGAGGCCGGACTGTACCTGTGTTTCTGCCGATGGAGGTCTTCTCCTCTCGCTCTTGAGAAGTTGCTGAAGCTTAGAGATGAGTATCTTTTCCCCATTATTTTCCGGAGCCGCGCTGGCTGCGCATGGACGTTATTGAGCATAAGAGCATTTACGGTGACCCGGTTTAGCCCCACGCTGTTTTTTTTTAAATGGTGCTGCGAGGGCTGGACGAGACTTGATATCTGCTACGAGGATCTGAAACGGGTATGGCGGCAGCATGAAAACCTGAAATCACAGCTGACTGCAGGAGAGAGGAGAACCATTTTAAAGTTTGGCTGCAGCACGGTGATTGGCTGCTGGAGAATGAGGTGAACGTAATAGGTTATTGACAACGCCCTTGATGAGCTGATTATATGCAGCTGCGGACTGAATGTAGGCTATATACCAGTCTTCCTGAAAGAACTTGCGCTGAGCTTCATTTCCTGTCTGCTGTGTTGCAGCTTCACTCAGAGACAGCATGGCTTCCAGGTTAGAGGAAGATTTCTGCTGTCCGGTCTGTAAGGAAGTCTTTAGAGATCCTGTCTTCCTGTCCTGCTGCCACAGCTTCTGTAAAGCCTGTATGCAGACCTGGTGGACGGGGAAAGAAGTAAAGGAGTGTCCAGTCTGTAAGACAGAATCTTCAAGAAGAAATCCCCCCTGTAACCTGGCTTTAAAGAACCTGAGTGAGACCTTCTTACAGGAGAGAGATCAAAACCACAGATTCAGACCCATGGATGAAGCTGCTCCGGATCTCAGGGAGGAGCTCCAGAAAGCTCTGCAGCCCTTTCAGGAGAAACTGAAGCTCTTTGAAGAAGTTAAAGTGAAGTTTGTTCAAACAGCAGGACACATGAAGGTCCAGGCTCAACACACAGAGATGCAGATCAAGGAGCAGTTTAAGAAGCTTCACCAGTTTCTAGAAGAGGAAGAGGAGGCCAGGATGGCTGCACTGAGGGAGGAAGATGAGCAGAAGAGGAGGATGATGGAGGAGAAGATGGAGGCTGTGAGCAGAGAGATAGCAGCTCTTTCACACGCAGTCAGAGCCACAGAGAAGGAGCTGAGAGCTGGAGACGTCTCCTTCCTGCTCAACTACAAGGCTGCAGTGGAGAGGCTGCAGCGCCCCCTGCTGGAGGATCCTCAGCTGCCCTCAGGAGCTCTGATAGACCAGGCCAAACACCTGGGCAACCTCAGCTTCAACATCTGGAGCAAGATGAAGGACTTGGTGTCCTACTCTCCTCTCATCCTGGACCCAAACACTGCTCATAGAGGACTCGTCCTGTCTGAAGATCTGACCAGAGTGAGACGAGGAGTAGAGGAGGAAGAAGAGGGAGAGGAGGAAGAAGAGGAAGAGGAGGAAGAGGAAGAGGCGGAACAGAAACTTCCTGATAATCCAGAGAGGTTTGATTCTGACTGGTCTGTCCTGGGCTCTGAGGGCTTTAACTCAGGGACTCACAGCTGGGATGTCCAGGTTACAGACAGTACATTCTGGACACTGGGTGTGTTGGCAGAGTCTGTCCAGAGGAAGAGAAGCATGTGGTCTGGATCATGGGGAATATTATTCTCTGAAGGTGAATACTCAGCATGGTCAGCTTCAGATCTATCCACTCCTCTCAGCCTGCAGCAGGAGCTCCAGAGGCTCAGAGTGAATCTGGACTGGAACAGAGGAGAGTTGTCGTTCTCTGATCCTGACACTAACACACACATACACACCTTCTCACACACTTTCACTGAGAAGATGTTTCCATACTTTAACACTGTGGGTGAAGTGAAGATATTACCGCTGAAGGTGTGTGTGACAGTGGAGCAGAGCAGGTAGAGATCAACGGGATCATTATATCTATGATGTTTATCTCTTAAAGCAGGCGTGTGCAAACTTTTTTTCAAAGAGGACCTTGTTATAAATTGTTCATTTGTGATTTGTGCATGATGGGAAAATAAATAAATAATATGTTTAATTCAACTGCAAGTTTGAGCAGCGAATCATTTATCAGATCCAAAATCAAATGCATTTTAATTTCCAGTCCAGACAATATTGATTTTAAATCGTTGAAATTAAAGTTTTATTACATGCAATTTTTACATTTTAAACTTGTATAATCATATAAAACATACAGAGTTACTGGGTTTAAATTAACTCCCTGACAGACAGGGAATAAAATAAATGTTTTAAAGAGATTTCTAAGTATTTAAAAACGGAGTAAATGTTAAACCCAGTTTTCCCAGGAGAAGCCTAAACAGAGAGGACGACCCATTGCTGTTCAGCGTGGATTATCAAATGCACACGTTTATAAACTCTAAAGGATTTCATCTCAATCTAAAATACTGATTTCTTGGCAGCGGTGTGTTATCGAGTATTAACAACCTCTTAAACGTCCAATTTGACCAATCAGAATTGAGTATTCAGCTAAGATGTTTAATACAATTATAATATATAGTAAAATATATATATATTGGTGTAGATAAAGTAATGTGTGCACTAATTGAATATATAAAAACATGTATGTTACAATAGAGTTGTGCATTAATATTAATAATGATATCACTCAGATTATTAAAGCAGCAACAATCACATTTAATGAGAAAAAGCTGACACGTCTTCACTTCAGCGGGCGCCATCTTTAACCAATCAGCATCTCTTTACTTTCAAAGGCTTTTTCAGCACTGCGCATGGACGTTATTGAGCATAAGAGCATTTATGGTGACCCGATTTAGCCCCACGCTGTTTTTTTTTTAATGGTGCTGCGAGGGCTGGACGAGACTTGATATCTGCTACGAGGATCTGAAACGGGTATGGCGGCAGCATGAAAACCTGAAATCACAGCTGACTGAAGGAGAGAGGAGAACCATTTTAAAGTTTGGCTGCAGCACGGTGATTGGCTGCTGGAGAATGAGGTGAATGTAATAGGTTATAGACAACGCCCTTGATGAGCTGATTATATGCAGCTGCGGACTGAATGTAGGCTATATACCAGTCTTCCTGAAAGAACTTGCGCTGAGCAGCTGGTGGAATGGCGTCTTTGAGCCCTGGAGGGGAGGGTATGGAAAGTGCATCTGAAGGAGATGGAGGATGGAATGAAGTAAGGAAAAAGACTTCAAGAAAGAAGATAGACATGTCAAGTGACAGTCTTAGTGAATCTGATTCGCAGAATGAATTGAAGAAAGTAAAGAAAAGGATTGAGAATGAAGAGTGGAAAGTGATTGTGGAGTTTGGTGAGCAATCCGCAGCTAAGCTACATTCAGTGGCCCTGACTAAAGCGATTCACAAAGAAATTGGATCGATAAAACAAGCAAGATTTCTGAGCAAAGGACGGATGTTGGTTGAAATGAGGAATGCAAAACAACAGGAAAAGTTACTGAAAATGAAGACCCTGAATGAAGTTCGGATTAAATGCCATGTTCCTGGAGCAAATCGGAAAATACTTGGAGTTATCAGTGGAGTTCCGATAGAAATCGGCATAGAAGAACTCAAGAAAGAAATTAAAGGGGGAAAAGTGTCTGTAGTTAAGCGTCTTCCTACTAGGTATCAGGGTAAGATAGTGGATAGTTTGTCTGTTCTTCTTCAGTTTGAAGAAACAATTCAACAGAAGATAATGATCGGTTGCATGAGCTTTCCAGTAAGAGAATTCATCCCTAAACCTTTGCGGTGCTTTAAATGCCAAAGGTTTGGGCATGTGGCAGACAAGTGCAAAGCAAATAAGCCCAGGTGTCCAACATGTGCGGGGGAACATGAATATGGTAGTTGTGCTGCAGGTGCTAAGGTGAAATGTTGTAACTGTGGTGGGGAACATAGTGCTGCGTATCAGGGCTGCGAAGTGCAGAAAAAGGCCAAGGAGGTGCAGAGATACAAAGTGCAAAATAAAGTCTCATATTCTGAAGCAACAGAAAAGGTATCACTAAACATAGCTAGGAAATCCCAAGTAGCAGCAAGTATATTCTCTTCAAAAGATTTTCCCAAACTCCCACAGGCAAAGGAAAGCTCCACAAAGTGTTCACATAAGTGTGTGATAGGAGAGGATGCATTGATTGTTAATAAATACACATTTGTGGCCTTTATTGGAAAAGTGGTGAATGTTGCTTTGCAACAAACAAAAAAGAGGTCAAGACTGAAAACAATAGTGGAAGCAGCAGGTGAATTTTTGGGGATAAAGGATATAACGGTTGAAATGATACATGATATGCTAGCCCCCAATAATGATGATTCACAGATTAGTGAATAGATTGATGGTTTTTCTCATTCTGCAGTGGAATGTTGCAAATGGACAAGAATTCAAGACCTATATATATCAGTTAAAAGAAAAACCAGACGTTATTTGTATTCAAGAAACATGGCTGAAGAATCATTTGGACTTCATTATTGGGGGATATAGTGCTATAAGACAAGATAGAAATGATGGTCAGGGAGGGGGATGTGCAATCTTTATCAGAGAAATAATGTCTTATAGTAGGCTAACATTTAAGAACAGTCATGATTTAGAAATAGTGGGTGTAGAAGTTTGGATTAATAAAAGGAATATTAGTGTCCTGAATTTTTATAATCCATGTAATAAACTCAAAATAGAGGAATTAGACAGTCTTTGTCAAGGAAATGAAATAATATGGTGTGGTGATTTGAATGCACATAATACAATGTGGGGAGGGAGATCAACAGATTACAACGGACAGGTGGTGGAGGACTTAATGGAGGCAAATGAATTAGTTTGTTTAAATAATGGGCAAGGTACAAGACTCAATTTTAGAGATGGAACAGAGTCTGCGATCGATCTAACTCTGGTAACAAGTGAATTAGCTTCTGGTAGCAGTTGGGAAGTATTGGCAAATAACAGTATTGGGAGTGATCATCTTCCGATTATAATCAAGTTTGATATAAGTAATGTGGTTGAGCTAGACGGTATCATGAGATGGACTTTTTCTAAAGCAAATTGGGAGATGTTTGCTAAATTGTGTGATAATGAATTTGATCAGATTGATATGGCAGGAAGTATTGATGATATAAATGAGCAATTTACTTCAAATATAATTAAAAGCGCTAATCAATCTATTGGGAATAAAACTGGTAAACTTAGTAAATGTGTTAAGATGGTACCGTGGTGGAACCAAGAATGTAATGATGCAATCCGAAACAAAAACAGGCTGTTTGGAAAGCTAAGAAAGACACATTCATTACACAATTTATTAGAATATAAGAAGGCACAGGCTCAGGTAAGGAAAATTGTTAAAAGAGCAAAAAGGGAGTGTTGGAGAGGATTCTGTTCAAGTATTGGGAGAACTACGCCATTAGATAAAGTATGGGGAATGATTAAGAAGATGAGGGGAATTAGACAGCAGAGTAACCTGCCTGTGTTAGAGCATGGAGGGGAAATTGCCACTGGTGCTATGGAGAAGGCAGAAATTCTAGCAACACATTTTGTCAAAGTTCATTCTTCGGAAAATTTGACAGAAGAAGGTAAGATCAGGAGGCAGGAAGTGTTAGATGAACATCCTAATGTATATGAAGAAAGACATTCGTCGCAGAGTGTTGTAAATGTACCTTTTTCTATTCAAGAGTTGAGAAGAGCATTAAGTAAGTGTAAAATGACTGCTCCTGGGAAAGATAATGTATGTTATATAATGTTGACCAAATTAAGTGAGTTTGCATTAGGAAAGCTGTTGGAGATGTATAATAAGATTTGGGAGAAAGGGAAGCTGCCAATAATATGGAAAGAGTCTGTCATTATTCCTATTAGAAAACCTGGGAAAGATCCAACTAGTCCAGGCAGTTATAGACCTATAGCTCTGACATCGCACTTGTGTAAAGTTATGGAAAGAATGATAACAGAAAGGCTGACATACTACATTGAGAAAAATGAACTAATGACTCCTTATCAGAGTGGGTTTAGAAGAGGGCGGAGTACTTTAGATCCACTGCTGTGCCTGGAATCTGAAGTTAGGAAAGCCCAAACGAATAAGGAGTGTGTTGTAGCTGTATTCTTTGATGTGGAAAAAGCTTACGATATGATGTGGAAGGAAGGATTATTAATAAAACTGGACATTATGGGTCTGGGAGGTAATGTATATAATTGGATTATGGATTTTTTGTTTGGCCGTGCCATCAGAGTCCGAGTTGGCAATTCTTATTCTCGAAGGCATGAAGTTGAAAATGGAACCCCACAGGGGAGTGTAATTAGTCCTCTTTTGTTTTCTATCATGATAAATGATATATATACACAAGTAGGATCTGATATCGGTAAGTCACTTTTTGCAGATGATGGAGCTATTTGGAAAAGGGGCAGAAATGTAAATTATATTGTAGGTAAGATTCAGGAAGCCATTACGGAAATTGAAAGCTGGTCTCTGACATGGGGGTTTAGATTGTCGGTGGAAAAAACTGAAACTTTATTTTTTACGAGGAAAAGGATAGGTGAGGAGGTTAAAACTTTATGGACAAGAACTAAAGAAAGTGAAGACATTTAAATTTCTGGGAATATGGTTGGACGAGAGAGTCACATGGAGTACTCACATTGATAAAGTAGTAGATAAATGTAAAAAGGTTTTAAATGTTATGAGGTGCTTGGCAGGCACTAAGTGGGGGGCTGATAAAGCTGCTTTGAGGAACGTATACACAGCCTTAATTAGATCAGCCATAGAATACGGACTAATAGTGTATGGTTCAGCTGCATACTCTTCTCTTCAAATATTAGATAGAGTCCAGGCACAAGCACTAAGGATATGCTGTGGGGCAGTCAGATCTACACCAGTGTCGGCACTTCAGGTAGAGGTCGGAGAAATACCAATTTCTTTGAGGAGAAAACAGTTAATTGTTAATTACTGGGCAAATCTACAGGGCCATAAAGATACTCACCCTACTAAACAAACTGTAAAAACAAGTTGGGAAAGTAACAAAATGAAAAAAGAAAGTTTTTGTGTTTGTGTTTCGGAATTATGTAAAGAATTCAAAGTTAAAGAATGGAATATTAGTCCGACGGTGTTGTTATCAGCTGTTCCACCATGGTTGCTACCTCAACCTATAGTAGATGT